AGTCTTTATCTGGAACTTTTCGTGTCTTTCCCAGTTTTTTCTACTGGTAAAGACCTTTTTTGAACAGTGAAATAGTTGTTGAACTATTTTAGCAAAGCAAAGTTTACAGAAAGTAGGTCGTGTGAAACTTTATTAATTCACTTCACACGAGCTGCCTTCACGTTCACTGTGCTGATCCCATTACTTCTCGCATTCAGTTCTACTCTTTGCATCCATCAACTGCTTAGGTTTTCAAACTTTTACGTGTAACTTCGACTGTGAAATTTCCTTTCATTTCGAACGTCCTAGAGCGCTTGCCCAGTCGAATTTTTCGGAGCCCTGAAATAGCCGGTCCGGAGCTTTCTGATTTAGTTTGCACCAATTGACCCCTTCTCGGACAAGTCCGGTACTACTTTGCGATGTGAGAGTGATGAGATTTTAACTCTTTTATTTACTGCCTTTTTCTTTTTAATGGCAGGGTATGTTGCGAAATATAACTCGTATATAATGCTGAGATATTTGCAAAACTCCGAACCGCAGGTGTCTGCTGTGGGGAGCGAACGCGTGCTATTGTCCTCACCGGGGAGTAGCGCACTTCACCACCACACCAGCCGGGTGCTTCATTTTGGCTATCTCTCTGCTAGTTCTATTGATCTTTTGCCATCAGTAATCACCGGCAACGGGATTGATCTTAGGAGCCCAAATCGGCATTGAACCCAGTTAAGCTGAGGCTTAGTTATAATCACAATCTTAACTCTTTTATTTACTGCCTTTTTCTTTTTAATGGCAAGGTAATGGCTTTCTTTTCTTTAATTTTCCTTTAACTTCCTTTTTCCTGTATACCGTCTCCTACTGCGGAAGTAGGTCCTTCTAGAAATCTTGGAATTGCCGTGATATGACATTTCTACACCTCCACGGCGTGTAGTCGTCAACCTTTGTCGATTGCAGTGAGCAAGCAAATACTGGGCCATTCTTGTGCAAATTTCAAGAGCTGAAATAGATGGGCCCTGGCCGGCCAGAACCAGAGCCCCGCGCGAATTGAGCGAAGCACCACCGCACCTAATAGTGAATCTCTAAATTGCTATCGGTACTAATTGCCAGCAATAAATACTACAGTAATAACGATCAAAATGTTTTGAGTACGTATTACCTTTTAAAACGTTTCGAAAATATTGAAAACACATAGGATTTTGAACTGTCTTCTTGACAGCTAATTCCACTCCACATTTTATTCCAAATATAAACAGTTTTGCAATAAGCATACTGTAGTTCTTCTTAATGCGCTTTCGCGTCGTCAGCTGGACCTTCTCGAAATGATGTTAGAAGTTAAAAACTTACTCATTGCATTTGCAGCTGGGTTAACAGTTACCATCCGGCATTGCAATGGGCTATAACTAACTTGAACGGTGAGCTGATCCAAAATGATTGCGATTATGGCGTCTGAGAGGCCAGCGCTGCGACCTTGACGTTCGAGAACGTCATTAACCTTAAGAGTAAGTTTCGTCACAATGAGGTAAAGTTTATACGGAAAGGTTTCTAGTCAAATTACATTGAGTTATATGATGAAATGTGTTGACGAAGGTTGTAGAAATTTAAACTTATTTTTTTCACCTTTCTAGAAATCAAGGAAGAAGAAGAATTTGAAATATAAGAGTTGTTAACTCACTGCTTGCATTAGGAGACGCGATACAAATGCCTGAGCTCCCTGCACGCTAGTTGCAATGCCAGGAAGCTGTGCAGCGGCATTGGCAGGCGCGGAGACCATGGCTACAGGCAAAGTAAAGCCGGTGATAGTGAAGTTTTTAGTTGTTGCTGCAAGACAATTTCGTAGTTTTTAGGTAATAATTGAAAACTATTGCAACTCCTGCTATTTAGGATTCAAATCTTTTCATCAAAAGGTTTATGCTAAGAGAAATGTAGCAATGAAATATTAGATGCATTCACTTCGTTTGCAGTTAAGGGCTTCATATTTGAAATTACAAATGTATGCACTACCATGACAATTTTCTATTTCTTACCTTGACCAGGTGGCAACGTCCCACACCCCAACACTGTCGAAGCGGTCGCTAGAAGCGGAATCAGAAGGGGTACAAGTGCCATGTTTGTAAGACAAATCGTTCTCGGTCGCTAAAAGTGTAACAAACACTGTAGACTACAAGTGAAAACAAATGATTCCCTTTTCCTTTGATGAGCAAACACGAGTTTGTTAACTGATTCCTTATTTGGAAACAAAATGGCGTTTATCTTAAAGCCGATGAAAAGAAATGTCCTCCTATTTGGATACCACCATTCACCAAGCAGTAGACGATGTTGCATCCAGCACATATTCATCAGTAACGTCAGTGAAGCAGAGTTTTTGCACCTCTTTCACTGTTCTAAGAGCATCAGAATTTCCAAGCTCTCTGAATTCAAAACGTATTTCTCAAAGCGGCTTTCGCGATGGATTTTGCCGTGGCGAGGCCCATGGAAGCGGGATTGTGAGAATAACTGTATGTAAAATATTGGATAAGGAAGGCATAAGTAAAAGCGATCAGATAAGGGAAATTTCAAACAATGGACAAATTTTCCAGGTGCCACAGCTTAAACTGGGTCTCCGCCTTCCCGCTTGTGTTGCTGCCTCATAAAATCCATGCTTTCCCCCAAACATGGAAATTTACGATCGTCTTCGGGAGTCTACTTTTAAAAAAATCTCTGGAAAAAGTTATCGATTTGCAAGAACGAGGGGAAACTTTCAATCTGGAACATTCTTGGCAACAATTTTTTAAGAAGCAGAAATGTCATTTGTTAACCCATGGTCTTGGACCTAACCTCTCTCAGTTTTCAAATTAGAGCTACGAAATCTCCTTTCTTGATGGAGAAGCCGACTGATGGCCAAAACAAAGCCTATTTAATAAATTTCCTAAAGAATTCAGAAACGCGTGTGGAATAACTGTGCCACTAAGAATCTATCAATATGACGAAGAAAATAGGAAAATAATTCAGAGTTGGCCACAGAAAGAGCAGCTAGGTTAGGGTATCAGGCTTTGTCTCTAAGCAGAGGAATCCTTCATTTTGTTGGATTTACCAATGCATACAGAAGAGAATAGAAATTGGGCGTTTCTGAAGGCTGAGGTAGCACTGATGTGCTTGTTAAATTTTGTAAGCGTTCCAAGTTCCTAAGAAATCAGAATGTTTATGAAGTGACGCCAATTTCTCGCAATTTCCTGGTGATGTGCAGGCAAAACAAAGTTTGCTATTATAATTTTCATATACTAAAGTCTCATCACATTTGTGTAACGTTTGCAAATTCTTCACTGATTTCACTCACTTATGCAGGTGTTTGGGAAAGGATCACCACAAAAAGTCGAAATGTTGCCTTCTTACAGTAAGTGGCCAACTTGGTCTGTTCAGTACCACGTGTTTTTAAAGTCATTCCAAATTCTTTACATAAAACAGCACTCCAAAACAATAATTGTATGGTCTTACTAGAAAAGGAACTGCTCACAGCTGGAATGAATGCGATTACAGCATTTTCGCTGATTGGTGACAGTAGATCTCTTTCTTCAGCTGACAAAATTGCTGTGTAGCATACGGTGCTTTGGGAATCGGAGTTTGAAAAACAACTTGCTGAAGGGCTCTTCTCATACGAATTGAAAAGTTTTCTGGAAAACACTTCTTTCACTGTCTGAATCTCGTACGGTAGTGATCGAAGTAGTGACATTAATGAGAATTCTCCTAATCAGAATCGTACGAATTCTATTCTGTTTTTCCCTTGGATGACAAATCGAAGACTCTGTCAGCGCTGTAGGACTATCGGCACTGTTACGAGTTTCTTGTGAACGCCAAATAAAGATGAACAAGCAGTTCCGTGTTGTCTTAGTTGATTTGCTGAAAAACAGGCAGTTTCATTACAGCGTCCCTCTTGCATTTTCTATGCAATAGCGCAGACAGTCAGCGAATTTTAGCGATGCCGAAAAGTTTGCCATTTAGCCTCTCTCAATGAAGCATAAAACAGCTCAGATTATATTACATATTCAAACCGGAAGTATTTAGGAAGTATTTCAATAAGAGTTTTAACACTTGCTCTGTTCATTGACGTTCTCAGTAGAAGTTTCTTCGATTAGTGCTGCTTCCGAGACAACAGAAACAACACTACCTAAGACTTCTATTGAAGACATTATAACCAGAAAACTTCACTGAAAAGTGCCACGTATAAAGTGGTAAAAAAAATCCACATTTGCTCTCAGTAGACGTTTGTCGCAATGTCTAAAGCTTCTAAGGTTTGAAAGAGAGACCACTGCGTTCACCAAGACTTTGGGCATAAGAGGATCTAACAGGATCTGAGCATCCTCCGATGGCCTCGTTTCTGAAACGCGTTTCCTCTTTTTCTGTAGCAAAAATTTTACATATGCATTTCACAGTGCCTTATTGCAGTGCTTCAGTGTCAGTTTTGGGGATCAACAGCAAAACGGTATCTCAGCAGAAAGAAAAGTAGAAGGTTTTCTTGCATTACACAAAACTGTTTCGCCGATGATCACTCAGGGAGAAGTGGTTCGTAGCGTTACTTAGTGTAGACCGCTGCACAGAATCACCAAGTTGTTTTTGGAATCGTCCCATTCCCATAATGGCTCGATCTCGAAGCTTTTGTCGTAGTACAAATTTTGTTTTTCGCCAGATGCAGATATCAATTACAAATAAAGCATCCGATAACGGCGAAAATAGCAGCTGCTGGTATACAGCACTCGAGAAAAATCCGGGAAGAATAAGATCAGAACACCTGAAGAACCTTCCGTCAGTCCTCGTAAACACGCTGGCTCTTTACACGTTACCTGTCTGAATGCAAGGTCACTACACAGTGGAAGACCAGCAAGACCGCGTTATTGTCCAAGAAGGGTGACATACGCGATATCGACAACTATCGTTCAATGTCCTTGCTGTCTGCCGTCTACAAACCTTCCACTGGAATCCTAAATAGGATCGACAAAACACTGGACGGAAGGCAGCCATGTGAGCTGGCAGGGTTTTGAGAAGTATTTAGTACGATGGACCACATCCACACGGTAACACGGCTCATTGAAGTATTGCGAGAGTGCAAAAGACCGCTCTGTCTCACTTTCATCGATTTACACAAGGCCTTTGATTCAGTTGAGATAGAAGCAGCCTTGGAAGCCCTTGATAGTCAAGGAGTCCCTACTCAGTACATGATGATTCTTCGTGAGCTGTACAAAAATTTCGCAACCAAAATGTCACGATTCTACAACGATATCAACGTTGACGTCGAAAGGCGTTAAACCCTCGCCAAAATTATTTACTGCCACCCTGCAGAAGGTCATACAAACATTGGAATGGGACACATGGGAATGAAAATCGATGGTTGGCAGTTACATCATCTTCGTTTTGCTTATAACGTCGTCCTTATACACCAAAACAATAGCCAAGCGGAACGTATGCTTGACGCCTTTGATAAAGCCTGTGGAAAGATTGGTCTTCGGCTAAATTTCACAAAAACGATGTCCATGAGAACGAAAATCTCAGAATTCTCTAGTTATGTCTATGTATGTAGGGAAATCAATATGATGAACGACTTAGCTCCAGAGTTGAGCACAAGGAAGCTAGCGGCTTGGAGAGTTTTAAGAGCAGCGAGGACGTAGAGAAGATAACATAGAACAGCACCTTTTTAGACTCAACGGTACTTTCTGCTCTAACGTATGCGTCAGAAACCTTGCCGCTGCGTAAGCAGAATGAGAGGTTTCTCAGCGTTATCGCACGCGCAGTCGAAAGGACGATGCTAAGAGTATCCTGTCCCACATAAGTAAGGGATGGGATCCGAAGCTCCGATCTGCGTCAACGATCAAAAATGAAAGATGCTGTTTTCTTCACCAAACACTAGAAGATGAAGTGGGCCGGACACGTATTTTGTATAAATGACAACCGATGGACAAGGGCCGTTAGTGACTGGGTTCAACGGAATGTCAAGCGTGCTGCCAAAAGATCACCGACCCGATGGTCAGAGTTTTTCATGAAACGCTTAGAAGATGCGATACTCAAGGAGTCCCTAGAGCGAGCAGAACGCACTAGGCTACTCTTGCACGCGACAAGGAAAAATGGAAGATTCACTGGCTACCGTTTAAGTGACTCGACGATCAACGGAATTGCAGGTAGCACATGTGATAACTTTGACTTTTTAACGTCCTCGTCTTTTC